GCACCCGAAAGACGATAAGAGATTAAATATTATTGGGAGACAGAATCTAAAACATCAAGACCCACCTCGAAATTGATCTTCGAACCTCGACCCTCGAAACTGCTGATTCGTTTGGGTCACCCGTCAACAGAATGGTTGACTTTCGATGCATTTCACAGATTGACTTTTCTGCATTATTTTGATTCCTTACTATACAAAAGTTAGGCTTTGTGCTGGATCTAATAATCCCTAGTAGTTGTAGCGCCTTTGCTCAACGTTTCATTCTGTCTCGACTGCCACAGCATTCTTGATTGTCGCTCAGTGTGTCGTGTCGCTATGCTGTGTCCTGTTTCCGTTTACCGGTGTGTAATCGCCAGTCGCTGTATGTCTCACTAACTAGTCGGACGTTTGTTTGTTTATTCTTTTTCTTTGTTGGGTTTTTTTTGGGGGGGGAGGGGTTGTTGTTTTTTTTAAATGATGGTGTTTTTGTTTTAAAAAGCCAAGCTTAAGAGGGTGGTTCGTTTGTTTGTTTCTTTTTGTAGGTTTCTTTTTAGTAAAGAGTAACTCATCGACACAATAATTGTTACTTAGTGCTGGGGAAAAAAAGACAGACAGACAGACAGAAACAACAGAGGGGAAAGTAAAGAAGAAGAACCTACCAGTGGCGCCCTCCAACCACCAACAGGGTGGCTCGTTCGTCATGATTTGTGACAAACTTTCACTCCCCCCTCCCCACGCCCACCCCTCCCCTTAAACATCGAACGCCATTTGTCGGAAGAGCAAAATCTGACGAAATATACTCGAGAAAAGACGTGGGGAATTTTGTCGGATTCGAACACCCGACTCCCTTGTATCAGATTACCTTCCCAACGCCTGCTGCAGCGCGTTGTCTCGCCTGCAAACTAAGGTGTAATTAACAGGATTGGGAAATCAATATTGCGACATTCACCTTCTTTTATTTTCCAAATGTAGGTGTATTACGTCCCCATTGACACTGCCACTTTTATCTATCCCAGAATTAAAACGCGCTTGAAACGGGTGGCAAAAGGAATTTAAGAATTGCTGGATGACATTTTCTAGGTTCATTTTTATACCTGGGGAGTGCGATCATGTCTAAAGAATCTGATTTGGAATACTCTTTCGCTTGACCAGATGCCTCTGAATAGCTCTCCTGACCTTCACGAAAAAAAAGTTCCCCATACGAACCGCTTCTCCTTTTCCGATAAAAATAAGTTTAAAAGTGTCAATGGCCGTTTTTGAAAGCGTTATTTCGATGCATGTCTCAAGACGAGGCTGCAGAAACGACCAGTGCAGCTGGAGTAAATTATAAGGTAAAAGTTTTATATATATTTAATGGAGCGGGTCGGATTAATATAGCTCGCAGTCCCATTGCAATGGTTCTCAACTCTAGATCTACCTCAAGAGGGTGGCGTGGCAAGGCACAACAAACCACTCCATAATGCCGTTTCAGCGTGCTCAGTGCACCTCTCCGTCCTTACTGTCTGTTCACCATAGTAAGTGTATGAGCTTGACGCCCCTTTCAACATTATTAACTTTTTTAACAGACAGAACATCCGAATGTAACATCCGTCTCCGAAAGGACCGAGGCAAACGGGTCGAGAGACAAGAAAATTCCACAGACAAAACGACCCGAGTTCAAGAAGGCCAGCCTGGGATTCGAACCGCTCCAAATTCCACCATTATATAGGCTGGGCTAACGAAACGACCACGTTGACCCTGTGTTTTTAATAGTTATTGTAGATGCTTTATCCACCTTATAATAAGTTTAATTCACTTAGGAGGCGGGCGGCTTTGAAACTGCCTGTCAGAGCCAACACGGACTGAGAGAGATACAACGTTCCAGAATACAGACGGCGATACCCGATTTATTTTGTAACTGTTTTTGTATATTATTCATAATTATTTGGAACAAGACTTCCCATCCGAAACTATTATTATTGATCTAATGTATCTCGTCATGAACGAGAAAAAAATATTAAGAACAACTATGCCATTGATCCTTTGTACAGTCAAGTAAAGTTCCCTGCGGATTTTTGCATCATTGAATTTTCAATGTTGGCGGAGTGGTCTGCACTCTCGGAATACAGTTCGCATTTGATGCGTGAGGCCATGTGCTTCGATTCAGACCCAAAAAGTATTATGAATGTGACAAAGTGTCCGCCTTGCAAAAAACAAATACGACGATCAAAAAGGTGTGGTAAATTTACACGAATGTTTGCCATATTACTTTGGGCTTTTTTCTTTTGTTTTTCTTTTTCTTTTGTTTGTTTGGGGTTTTTTTCTTCTTTTTTTTGTCGTAGTTGACATCCTACACAGAGGAGTGGGAGAAGGAGAAGGAGAGGGAGAGAGAGAGAGAGAGAGAGAGAGAGAGAGGGGAGGGGGCAGGGATCAGAAGGAGTAGAAAAAAAAATGCTCTACTGACCGTTCTGGTCATCCACCTCGTTGCCAATGTCAATGGCCATCTGCTTCTGCCGGGACACCACGTGGGACAGTGCCTCCAGGCCCCGGTCCTGCTCTGTGGACAAACAATACACCAACAACTGTTACTCTTTGTTTTAGTAAGTGTTTTCCGGCACTTGCAACACAGCTATGTCATATAAGTGCCAAAGATTAGAAACGTTACAAGACTGTCACAAACACAAAAAAGAAGGAGGTGTGATGAGAACGGTAGATATCTGACAGTAGAGAAGGAGCAAACCACACCAGAGCACTTGCCAACCACCCACAAACATTGCTGTTACTGTTTTACGCCCTACTGACACAATGAAGGACATCGGCGGCCCATTAGGAGCACGAAAACACTAAAACATAGTGATATTTTTATGCCCTTATCATAATTAATTGTAATTGCAAGAGGTGGGATCAGCCGTGCAGACCTCAGCGGTAAAAATGTGAAGCTGACGTGTAGTCTGACTGACATAAAGACTAAAAGGCTCCTTTGTGTGGTTCACGACACGACGAGTCACTTGGACTCCGGGTTGGAAGGGAGGGGGGGAAGGAGGAGGGGGGAGATTTGGTGTAGAATTAGACGGAGGGATCTTTTCCGTGGACAAGACCCCAGCTAAGGATGACACGATGATGATGATGATGATGATGCTGATGATGATGATGAAGAAGAAGAAGAGATGGACTGCTTCAACCTTCCCTATCAGGACCAACCCTCTCTGAGTGAGATATTGCATCCCAGCAGAAAGACAGAGGTACTCGATAACATAACATTCTCCTTTTTGGAGGGTTTTAGTAGGAGTATTTCGGCACCAGCTGAAGA